TGCAGCAGGCTGGACGTGACGAATGGCTGAGACCTCTCTCGTGGAGTAGGGAGAATCATAAAACGCCAGAGGCAGATGCTCCGCAGGCTGTACCCTGTACTCGGTTCTGTATCCTCTGTGGCTGCTGTTTGTGTGTTTCAGCAGTCTAAGAAAAGAAGGCCCCTGCAGAAAGCTGCTGCCGGTTGCCGTGCTGCTGATGCTGCCTCTGGTGGTACTCAAGGAAGGGTAATGCTGCTGCAGCTGCTGCTGCTGCTGCTGCTGCTGCAGCGGATGCTGCTGCTGCTGCTGCTGCGAGGAAGACAGCGGGGCCAGTAAGAAATGCAGGGAGAGCCACCATCGGCTGCCCCCCGCGAAAGGGCCTCCTCTCCAGGCGGGGGGGCGCCAGCTGTAGTCAGTGAAAGCGACAGAATTATGCGGTGATATGCAGCTCATAAGCAAACAGAATAAAAAGAATTGAAAGAAAGAAAGCGGAAATTTATGCAGAAAAGATGAATTTCTCTCACACCCGCCGAGGCGGCTGCGTTGCTGCGTCGATGGCTCTCTGGCTCTGACCCTGTAAGATGCAGCAGTTTTTGGTGGAAACCTCGGATAAATTAAAGTCATTTCGGTTCTTCATTTCATTCTGAGAAACAAAAGAAGAAAAAAACCACTCAAACGCAACCACAAGCCCCCTAATCACCGCAGCTACTACGCGGCGGCGGAGGGTTGCTGCTGCTGCAGCTGCTNCGCAACCACAAGCCCCCTAATCACCGCAGCTACTACGCGGCGGCGGAGGGTTGCTGCTGCTGCAGCTGCTGTATACAACAAAGAAGAACAGACAGAAGAAAAGGAGGAGCCCAGGCCCCTCTCTGCTGTCGTCTTCTGCGTACTCTATGAAAAACCTGATATTACTTCAATATTTACAAATAAAAAAAGAAAAACAATCATTAAAAAACACAAAACGCAGACCGCAACACAGGCCGTACAGCTTTCCTTCATCGGCGGTGCGCACGAGCGAGGTGTACATACACCCCAAAGCAGCGGCAATCAACGCCATCGGTGAGGTATTTCAGGTGTGTCTAGAGCTTTTTTTATTGGAATTTTTACACTTTTGAGTTTCCTTTAAGGTTTTAAAACAATTAAAAACTGAAACCTTTCTAACAACCATGCTACATCTACCCTTTCTCTCCAGTAGCACACAAAAAAGAGACGCTGAGCCACTGCACACTCAATACAGTAGCTGTCTGTACACTTCAATCGAACCTTATTATCACTAGTTTTACACTTTATACACTTATACAAACGCATGCAGCCAATAAACATTGCACTCGAAGCCACTGCAGCAGCAGCAGCAGAAAACGGGGTCCTTCTCTTTTGCTGCTGCAACACTCACTACAAGCAACACTGCGTCTCAATCTTCTCCTCAAACCCCCGCCACATAAACACCCTCATGAGATACACAGCGAAGCAGAGCCCCTCCCCTCGCTCCCCCCGTGGTGGCTGCTCTAGCAGTACATACATTGAAACAGTTTTGTTCTGTTCTTCTCGGTTGTTTGTTTAGTTTTATGTTTCTCATTTCATCCTTATTCTACTCGCTAAGGCAACAGCAAACGCATGCAACAACAAACAGCCCCAAATGCTGCTAACAGAGAGAAACAACGAAATGCA